CCACTCACCTCAGTCTCCCAAAGGCGCAGGATTACAGGCTGAGCCACCGAGCCCGGCTCCGGCTTCCTTTTTAATTAAAAAAAAAAATTTTTTTTGAGTCAGTATCTCACTGTCGCCCAGGCTGAAGTACGTTGGCATGATCATGGCTCACTGCAGCTTCAAACTTCTGGGCTCAAGTGGTCCTCCAACCTCTGCCTCCCAAGTAGCTGGGACTGCAGGTACACGCCATCACACCTAGCTGACTTCTTGATTTTTTTTTTGTACAGATGGAGGGTCTCACTTTGTTGCTCAGGCTGGTCTCGAATCCCTGGGCTCAGGCAGTCCTCTGGCTCCGCCTCCCAAAGTGCTGGGCTTAAGGGTGTGAGCCACTGTGCCCAACCTTCTTGAACAAGTTCTGGTGACTGTCCCTCAAATGCAACAACTGGTCCCGCATCAGACGTGAACCCACGGCCTCCTGTGAGGCTGGTCACAGCCCACGCATCCTGCCACTGGTGGTAGAGGTGGGAGTTGGGGGAGACTGAGACGCAGAAAGATGGCAGGTGGGAGGGAGACTGCTCTGGGAAGTCGCGGTAGAGCTGGGCGCCACTCCATGGGCCCTGGGCCCGCCCCTCCCCTGGGCGCCGTCCCGTCCTCAGCGCTCCCCCTGTTCCCTCACAGGCCAGGGCATCAAGCGGGTGAAGCCGAAGCGCACCGCGTCGTTCTTCAGCCGGCAGCTGTCCCTGGGCCAGGGGAGCTACACCGTGGTGCAGCCCGCCGACAGCTTGGAGCAGGGCTGAGGGCAGCAGTGCCCAGCAGGAGGGCCCTGTGGGCCCAGGTTGCGACAGTCTCAAGGGCTGTGCACACGAGGGAAAGCCGCCCCACTGCCCAGGGCCTGCAGCTGTTTCCAACCATGGAGAAGTGACTTTGGTGCAGAGCCGGCCAGGGCCTTCCTCGGGGCCCCTTGCACCTGCCCTCCCGTCCCCTGGACTCTGGGCCCAGCTGCTAGCTCGGGCCCACCCAATCAGGCCCCACTGGCCCCTCACACCTAGAGATGTACCTCTGTGCCCATCTCTCAAGTGTGTCCACTCTCTTGGACACTGTCCCCTGCTCCGAAGTGCCTGGTGGCAGCTCCAGTGCCGGGTGGCCGAGGACCATGGCCTGGGACCTGCAGGCCCAGTGTGTGCCTGTGGCCTTTCCCCTGGGCTTTGGTGGCCGCACCCCTGCCTGCCTTCTGCTGGTGTTCCACCCGGCGCTGCCAGGCTGGGCCTCTGCTCTGAGGAGGGCAGGAGGGGCCTCCCTGGGTTGACCCACAGCAGGAGCGAGGTGAGGGCCCCAACCATCTTCCCTGACTGAATCGGGACTCGAGGGAGCCGGGCAGGGCCTGACTCCGGGGACTCTGCCCCTCGCGCTGGTGTCTCTTGTAGGCACAAGATACAGACCAGAAGGAAGGTGTCTTTTGGGGGGAGCCTTTGGTGACGCCACTGTACTGGGAGGGGGCCGTCCTGGGAACCAACAGGCCCACCAGAGCCACACTCACTCACTGAAAAGCTTCTGGAAACCCCCATGGGCCCCTGGGCCCAAGCAGCTCCCGGGCAGGTCGCCAAGCCTGCCCTTTCCTCAGGGTTCTGGGTCTTCGGGTTTTAGTTTCGGTCTTTTCTGTCTGCTTCGGTTCTGTGAAGTCTGTGAGCCCTGGGGCCACTCGGGGCAGCGCCCCTATTGGCCACACAGCCGCAGACCCCCTTCCAAGGCCATGCTGGGGGTTCCTGGACCCGGCCCGGGTTCGGAAAGCCCTGGCCATGCCAGGCGTCCCTTCTCTGTCCACGATGGTTGGAAAGGTGGCTTTGGTGGGGCTTGGCTTCGCGTTCCCCTGCTTTGCCCTTCCGGGAGCAGAGGCGCTATCTTCCCAGATGAGCCGGCCCTCCCCAGGAGACCCTTCTCAGCCTCGGGCCCCTGTGGTGGGCCGAGTCTCTGGCTGTTCCCTGGGACTTCCCGCAGGAAGGAGGCAGGCCTGGGTCAGCCAGGGCTTTGCTTGTCGCCCCCTCCCGGGAACCGCAGGAGCGAAGCCTCGGGCCTCTCATCCTCCAGAGAGAAGGGCCCTCCCCACTTCCTCCCTTCGAGCACTCCAGATGTTCTGAGGGAGCTGCCCATCGGGCAGCAGAGACTTGGTTATTGTCATAATGAACAGGCAGAAAGAAGCGGTCTGGGAGGTGTCCCCAGCCTTTTGGAATGCACCAGGCACAGGGCAAGGTCAGCTGCCGCCTCCGGGCGCTCCCTGGGGAATGGCGACCTCGCTGAGCTGCCCTCCCCACACTGGCCAGCTGGCCAGCTCCTCCAGCTGTCTGGTGTCTCGGCCACAGTGACTCTGTGGAATTCCAGGTGAATTCTTACCTGACGGGTGGACCAGGGTGTGTGTGTGTGGTGGGAGTGTGTACACAGATGATGTGTCTTTCCTGTCAGCCTCTTTCTGATGTGCCCTAAGCCTCTGCTGTGCCATAACCTTTTGCGCCTGTCCTTTGGAACAAAGTGGTATTTTATTAACTGCCCTCTGAATGTCCCCATTCTTTCGTATCATGTGACTTATGAACAGTAAATCAGTTGCTAGCAAACTCTCGCATGGTTTCTGATGGGAGATAGTGTGGGGGCGTTCACGGCGGCCCAGGAGTGGATCGTAGGCTGGGTATTCACCTTTTTTTTTTTTTTTTTTTTTG